CGACAGGCTTGAACAACAGGTTTGTAAGGAATCTGCATGTGTGTGTTTTCAACATATAAAACCCGTGAAAAGGTTGCTTAGCTTTTTTCAGTACACATTTCTTTTTCTAAGAATCTTGCTTATTTGGTCTATGCTAAGTTCTAATTTTCCTAACAAAGTTTACATTATTTTGAATGTTCTTCGATCTCTTAGTATCAGTTAATATTCATGTAATTGAAATAATTAGATCAAATCTTGCAGATTTTTGGTACATTTTTCCATTGATCCTACTGACATCTCAGCATGTGTAGGGATTAATATTGGCTATAAAAGTATAGTTAAATTAAATATTTGTGCACAGCCTATGCATCAAATATTTGCAATAAAATATTGTATCCTTCTCAAAAATAGTTTATCAGATTAAGAATGAGTTACCAGGTACAAGTATGGCTCTAACGATGATAGTTTCCAGGTTTGAAAAAAGTCATTGCCTGTTAAAACCCTTAGTTCCCTTACCTTGACAGCCCAACCTCATCAAAAGATTGGCAACAGGAGTGATTAGAAAATTAACAATACAGACAAGAGAGCCTATTCCCACAAGCACCCTCCGTGATCCTGTTCACCTACCATGAACATGACGTTTCAAACATGGTGTATGTTTCCCTTACTAATTATTTTGTAATGGTGTTTACAAATTGTGGAAAACGGTTGGGTTGAAATATAATACAACGACTTGCCAGTAGGTAGTCAAATGAAAACTTTTTACATATCAATGAAATTTATCGTTGTGTTTCATGTTAAAATGTAGCAATAACTCCACCTTCCAGTAAATTCGACCATTTGCAAACATGAGAAAATACCATCAAAAACTTTTCAACCCATTTAATATAGCCAATAACAATATCAACTCAACTTTAAAACTAAAGAGAAAACTTGATTGATATTTGGAATTGATTTCTGTGATGTAAAAATGAAATCCAGGCATTATCTCAAGTTTTCCACAAATGTCTTCGTGGTCGAATCTTAAGTCTCTCTTCGTCATCAAGTTTTAATCATGACATTTTAGCTCTAGCTTTCCTTTTAAAGCAAACTTTTGCGGCGCAAAAAAGATGTTAGACAAATTTCGTACTTCTTTAACTAGAGTTGCTAAGATCATGGGAAGTTGGCTTAAAGAAACCTACATTATAAATAGTTACAGCAGAGGTTACCGAATCAAATAACAGAAAAAATCTCAAAAAGACGCCTTGTATTTCCAGCCAGAGGACAATCATGAAACAATGATAGCCAAAACAGGAAAAGTTTTAAGGAATTACAGGCTCAAACACGAGTTGAAAATGACTTTTCTTTTAAATTTCTACGCAAAACAGAGGAGGTTGAAACGTTAGCGAAAAAATGATGGGGCAAGCAGTCATACCTGGCAACTTCAAGAGAAGATATAAGAGAAGCCCATACGATTCTGGCGTCTTGATTTACTGATTCACTGTCATCACGGGTATATATACTCTTCAATCGACTGTGGATGTCTAAACTCGAAGTAGTTTACTGCCGTTTCTTTCAATTTTGGCTCATTTTCCTAGACTAAAATTATCAGTCATGCTCAAAAGAATATAATTTGAACTGATGCTGACATCGCACACTTCTCTGAAGAAAAAAAGACTCTCTATCTCCGAAAATTTGCTCAAAACATCAGGAACTACAACGAAGGTCCTCAGCTGCTTGAAGATACCGCTGACTAGCATGCGTTTTATCGCACGTTTTATCGCCAACTCTTCGTTTCCCTTCTAACCCCCCGGACTGGTCTCTTAGTCCCCTTGAAGAAACTCTTCCACAGCCAGTGTTCAAGAGTTTTTTTAAAGTTTTTATTGTAATGAGGGGCTAGCAAATAACTAAGAGCTCCGCTTTTAGGCTTTGCCAAATCTATATATCATTTCTGTGAGTGCACGTCGTTTTAACCCTTAGCTCATTCTGAAAATCAACAATAGAATACTAATGGTGCTTAAACTTGCGATGACTAAGGAAAAAGTACACCAATTCAACTATTTTTTTCCAAAGCCCGGATCGAATGTTAAACTTTGCATCTGTCTAATCTAATGCCAATTTGAGTGGACCCTGTTGATTAAGTTTCATCGCTTGTCTAACATGTCGAACTTTCAGCAGCTAGCTCACCCATAGAAAGAGGAGACGTTTTTCCCTTTTGACATCTTGTCATTTGGCATATATAAAACGATAGCAACTAAGCTATTGTGCTCCTGTTATCCTAAATATGGCTGCCAAAGCTGTTGTGCAGAAAACCAAGCGCAAGCAACTTGACCACTGCATGAATTAATTTCTCACTTGTGCTATTTGCTTTCTGATCACTTTCCGCTATATGGAATCTAAAAGCCCTCAGGAATCCAAGTTGTAAGAGATCCTTCTCTAATTATAAACTACGAGTTTACTGCGGACATGTGTAGAGTCTGGTTTGTTTTGTTTTAATTAACAGTGCCAAATAACCGCCACCTGACATTTCTTCTCGGTTTGCGGTTTGGCTGAATTTCAAAGGACGTTCCAAAATCGATATAAATGTTTCGCAAATGAAAAGTCAAGATATAATAAAGGTGGTACTTACCTGGCGCATAACTTTTAGACAAAGCTTTCCACACTTTGCCGGATTCAGTTGCACGCATCACACAATCCATTAAGCGCACGATACTGTTATAGCTTGCTGTCAATAGCTGTCTTTACTCTTATACGAATGTGTCATTTCGGTTATTCATTTATTTATTTTTTTAAATTATTTGGCATTGAATGGAAAGTGAAAAGTATTGAGAAACTAATAATAATAATAATGATGATATTACAAAGATCCCTAACTCTTCCTTTAGCGATTAAACAAATAGTTTAGAAAGCCCGCGTGTAGAGTCTGGTATTTTTCGGTATTAGATTTTCGTAGGTTTAAAAATCAAAATGAATTATTCACAAATGGAAAGTCAAGTTCGAAGGTTTCATAGCTACGACAGAATAACTGAAACAGGAATTACAAACTTCGTACTTACCCAACACACAAGATATTAAAAGGGTTTTGAAAATTTTGATCGGTTCAGTTCCATTTATCATCCACTTCATCATGCCCAAGATATGCAAAGGTTGCTGTTGAAAGCTATTATTACACTTGTATTTGTTTCACCCTGCTTGAGAGTTAGAGTTTAATGCAAATAATTATCTCTGATCGTATGTTAATAGCGTGTGTCTCCTTCTTTCTTTTTCTGTTACAGACGAACCACAAACTTGCACCTGATGTGGAGCATTGTTTTTTGTTTGTTTGTTTGTTTTTTTTAATTCCGTCGAAAAACTTAGAGGCATTAAACTAGTTTTTGTGGTTCAAGTTTTGTAAAGAAGCAGCTCAAACAAAATTGATGTTAGGAAAGATAATTTTTTTTTTATGAACTCTGCTGAATGAACTTTGTCTTAAACCAGCTACCGTTTTATTAACCGGCAGCTAAAGCTAGTATTTCATCTGCTCGTATGCGTAAATGGAAATTATTATTTATTCATCTCGCCGATGACGTGCTACGCATTTCTGTCGGTAGGTTTATTTACTTCGTATGCCTTCAACTCTGATGGACTAACTCGCTCATGTGTTAATAACCGTGCATTATTATTTTTATAGCAAACGGCAAACTCCGAGTCAAAGGATTTCTTGTCGGTTTTCTTAGTGAATGTGAATTTACATAAAGTTAATCGTTAATTAATCAGAATCCCAGCGGAGGCTAACGGCCGATGGTTTTAGTGTTCAGCCTACAAAATAGCTCTCCCCTTCAAAAGCGTCAGGCAGACCATTATTTTTGTGCCCAAATGACTCAATTCCAACATTTCATAAGGAGCGGTGGGGTCTAAAGGTCTGAGTGTGCGATGTCCTTGGGTCAGTGAGGTGCTCTGTGGGCGAGACATTCTACTCTCCGCGCTCATAGAATAATTGATTATTTATTCGGGAATTTCTCCAGCCTAAGCTGCGAAATATTTAGTCAATCGAGGCTTAAAGCGCGTTGCCCTATCGCATTTGAGCGCAGTGGAGAGAAAAGCACTTGCGCATTCCAGAGTGTTCTTCTGTGTACCTTCTTCCGCCTAAATCGCATGCTTCGTTATCAATGTTGAGTTATAAATAGGTATGACATAGTTTAGACTGTTGTAAACCAAGTCGGGCATATTTACATTATCGTCTCCTTCTCTCAATTGTTGAAATTCCTCTTCAATGCTTGCCTCTCAGTTATAGTTATACTTGAAAACAAGGCCTATGGAAATATTCCTCATTTCTATCGCTGAGCATTTTTCCTATAAATTGTGTACTCTGTGTAGATGTTCTTTAATAGCTGTTAAACTAAGTTTTTTAATAAAGCTCGAATATAACGCGCGCTTTAATTGCGAAAAAAAGATTAAAAATGGGCAAATGTAACTGATCCAAAAAGGATCCAATCACTAGGTTTTTTTCTGGTTTTTTCAAATTAGTTGTTTATTTATTCAAACATTTACGTATTCATCTATTTATTCATTAAGCAACAACTTTGAATGTCCGCTTTAGCTACTACTACTATTAGTATCATTTGTTACGGTACAATTAAACCAACAGAAAGAACAATATTAAACAACTTGTAATATTCTTACCAAGAAGCGACTGTTAAAGGAAGTACAGTATTTATACTAAATAAACTTTATTAAGCGCATTAAAAACCATCTCTTAGCTCAACCCACTGACAAAATCTCACAGTTGTCTCCAAAGTTCCTCGAAATTATATCAACAATCTTCAAAGTAGTTCTCCCTGTAGTCTTATTCGGAGGGCAGCCCTCATCAGACTGAGCCATAAGAAATTAAAATTTTTAGATTGGTTTATTTCGATGAATTTTGCTTGCAAATATACGATCGCTCAGAAAATAAACTTATAACTTATAATCATGAAGAAGATAGGTGACATTTACAGTTGCATGAGTGCTTAAACAATTATAAACACAATGACCTTAACCTGCATGTCGTACCTCAGACCGATCGCAACCGACTAATCGCTGTTAACTAAATGATTGCACTAAGTAATTGACTGTTATTTCTAGTTGGCTAGATCCAGTTACTTGAGTTAAGTGCGATTTGGATTCAAATTCAGCACAATCTCACTTGTTTGACCTGTGAGCACTTCCTTGTGGCGTTGTCCTTTATTGAAGATGGAAAAACGATGTTCATCTTTCTTTTGAATCTTTCTTTGATCTGCACATAGACGAGCAACATAAATATTGGTTCTGAGCACACACACATTTATTGAAAGACTACAACTTGATGATATGCAGTTAGTATAGAAACACCTTAATTTTTTTTCTTACCTGATTGTTTCGCATGCAGTGTAAAGCGAAAATTAGGAAACCCTGCAGGATAAGCATGATTTCAGATCATTCCTTTTTAACATATTTAAAAAAATAGGAAAATATCTATTTAGATGCAAATGAAGAGATATTTAGGAAGAATTGAAGAAATAAAGAAGAAATCTGTTTTATTCAGCATAGTTAACAGCTTTTTGTTTTAATAATTCCAATAAATATCATGTAACCATTGTAATGGTGTCTCGCTTGGTTGAAAAATTCAATCGAGATTTATATAATCAAGATTGGATGATTTTTGAGAGTAACCATTGAACATTCACCTGAGTAGAGTTAAGTATGGTGAAGATGTAGGCAAAAGCTTTATGCACAGGCAAAAGGAGACCAAATAACCACGTGATACCCAGCAGGGGATTTATCACCACGCATGCTTTGATGCCAAGTCTAGGAGTTAAAAACAAAGAAAGAAAAGACATTCTTTTATTTTAATTTGACGAATAATTTTCACTGTTAGATATGGGAATGCCTTCCTGATTAAGGAATGGGGAAGTTAGGCGATTATCGCCTCACAGGAGCACATGGCAATCTCGTCCACTATTTTGTTTTAGTTTTATGTTGCAGGTCTTACCGTACTTGCTGAAAATTGTTGTCTTCCGCTGTTGGCTGCACCAAATTGATCATTTCCTTTATAACGCTTACAAGTATCAAGATGTTGAGCTAAAAATACGATAGGAAAAAATTGATTGTTTAGATATGATTGTCGAAAAAGCAAGAAAGGATCCTTGCCAAAGACGTCATTAGTTTGGTAAGGAGAGTGGAATGAAGAGTCATTTACAGGGAACAGAACTCCCAGCCAGGGGACCTAAATTATGAGCTTCAATCCTTTGACAATAGGCTGAAGAAATTGCAAACAAAAGTGTCTAAACTGAATGAACCGTACCAAGTGAAGCCTCATGTTAAATTATATAAATTCAATATCTCCTACTCTCCCTGCTATTTTATCTTTGTTAAAGTCTTTTTTAATTAATGTGAAACAGTGTGAGAACATTAATATGGAGGCAGTGAGGATTTTTTTTTTTTACGCTATAAAGTAAAAGTTGGAGAATTTATGAAGCTATTTTATGCCTGTGAAGACATTGTCTCAAAGGTTTTTCTCGCTATTGAAGGCCATCAGTAGGTTAAAATTGACAACCATCCCCGTAAACAGCAGCTCCGTCCAAAGTTTTTCGTGAGTAAATAGCAAAAGATAAATGGTAAATATTGTGTGGTCATATCATAAATACTTATCCCTTTAACTCCCAAGATCTGATTAGTAATTCTCCCCTCTAGCTGCTACAAATATTTTTAAAAATAGTTATGAGAATTTGGTGTTAGATCAAGGCAACAACTTTTACCTGATAAGTTTACATATTCTCATTTGCTGTTTCCTGTATAATGTAAGGCTATTACAGAGAGAAGTTTCATGTTGATCACTCCTGGGAGTTAAAGGTTTAATTCGCTTTTTAAAGAGCAGAGGAAAAGGTCTTTTGGCAGCAATTAGTCCAAGTATACCAATCATAATCACCAACACTAATCATAAACTCACAACTTCAATGAAAGTCACAAAGGCGACGAATATCCAGGTCAGGTTGTTAGTCGAGGAAAGCCAGCAACTAAACTCGAAGAATTGAAAGGCAGGAAAGAAAGACAAATTTTTAACAAATGAAATGATACTGATTTAAAACTATACACAAAAACACAAAAGAAAGAATGTAATGAAATGAAGTAAAAGAAGGAACCGTTGAATTTTTCCTCACTATTTATCACTCGTATAGCTTTGTAATCCTTCTTTCCCAGCTGCGATGCCAAGTGAAATGGCCACCATGATCACTGGAAGACCTACCCATAGAGAAAGAAAGGAAATACAAACACTGCAATGGATGACAACACCGGTTTTGGCGATCCGAAAGCACTGATGCATGGTTATAGCTACCTGTGCATGTTGTAAAATAATAAACTTACCCCATGAGAGGACGTGATACATGTGCATCTTGGCGTTGATATTATAAACTTTCACAATGAAGAGGTAGAGATAAATTGCCTCGATCAGCATCCAACAGAAAGCGGCCATCAAGAAATACTGCATCAGAGCTGCTATTGTAACACAAGCAGCCTGTGAAGAGAAAGATTTTTTCGTATTCTTATCGCGCTCCTTTAGATTAGATATTTTTGGTGCAAAGAGTAGATTCATTCTATGGATATGAAAGAGAGGCCACTAACTTTGTTTTCTGTTGCGTTTATTCCCGCGAGGAAGATGATCTGTCCAGCTCCAAGGGACATAGAAACACTCAGTCGAATTTGAGAGAGAGGTTGACGAACATCTCTGATGAAATAATAGGTAAGTACAGCAAGAACCACAAAATTTAATCAAAAGGTACAGCAAAATGTGGCTAAAGATATCAACTAAATCTTGACAGCAAAGGAAAAAAAAAAGACAGTGAAGAGCTCTAGAAAGGACCAAAAAAAGAAAGCATTTCGAGGAAAATGGCTAAACCCTAAACAATTCATGAACCGTGAAACCATGAGCATTTCAAGCGCTCTTAATGGGGCATGAAATCTACTTTGAATTTGTGAGTTATTCGGCAGACATGTATTTTCTTATTGGCATGGAGATTTGCATTGAGATCTCTTTTCTCTCTAGCCTAGTTGAGGGGAGATGAGAATCTACGTCATCAATATTCAGGTACATTACATACGTGAGGCAATAATAAAGTATTAATGTTAAAAGTATCCCGACGATGGAAAGGCTCAGTCCCACGTAGGTGATAACTTTCAGGACTGTTTCGTCCTCCTTGGTGAGCTATGTCAAAAGAGAAAAAAAATTAAAGGAGAACATTGAGGTAGTTAATTGAGCCCATAAAATGAAAGAGTAAGGCAAAAATTATTTGATTACCTTTAAGCTACCGTCGTAGTCCATTAAGACGGCAAAATGCGTCAAATGATTGCAGCTGCAAACTGTTTCTTCTGAGTTGCTTTTTGATTTAACTACATGGCATCCTTCCTCTGAAAATCCCTCAGACCTGAAAAATTAAATTAACAAAGCACACAAAATAATTCATCGTCTAGGGAAGAGGTGATGTTTGACAATTTGCGCTAGGTTTTTCCTCCATTGCAGTTTTCGGTGCGAGAACATTTGAGTCAGTCTTCCTCTCTCTAAAAACGACAACATGTTAGCCTCCGGGAAACATCTGACTATGAACTTTCATTCATACTCTGCCATACTTAATTTTATTTTAGAACGAAGAAATACTAAAGAGGTATTTTTTACCTTTTGCTGAGGCCACTCCAAAACATGCAGCGCTTCTCTGCTGTCAAAACCTGAAAATAGATTTTATCTAGTCAGAATGAATCATAATAGCGCGTAGCAACTAATTTTAATGTTACCTTTAGGTTTTTGAACTTAAGGATGACATTTTCTGCCAATTTATTAGGCTTGGGGTCCATAGTTACGGCCATTATCCTGGAGTTGATATACCTATGAAGAAATTATATTTGTAAATGAACCAAAATCGAGGAATCAACAAACATATACTCTTGCTAGATTCAAGCGAGTTTTTTATGAAGATGGAATTGTCTGAGACAGACAGGAAGACTTCGAACCCTATATGAGGTTTTTGAAAGTTTCTACGCTCAGTTTGGTTGAACTTTAATCTTATGTTTCCATATTATGTGTTTTGGGGGGTAAGCGACATAGAAGGAGATGAAAATATCATGACCTTTTGTTGACTGTTTCATTCCTGATGGGTTGGTCCGTCAGAAGTCGGTCATGCAGATCCTTGTACACAAAAGCCACTACCAATGATCCTTAAAACCCCCCAAGAATCAACAAAAAATAAGTTAGAAAAAACAAAAACACAAAATTCAAATTTTTATCAGGCCCTGAGGTATGTGACTTTAGAAGGAAGGCAAAGAATTCAAGAAAATAGACTATGTAAACTAATGAAGCGCATTTTTATGGGGCTTTATTTCAATACAGGAATTCAGATTGGAGAAACTAAGGTAATTAAAAGTTGTAAAGTTAACACGCCGGTTAATACGAACCATTTTCCTCAAAATTTGAAGAAGCGATATCGATTGTCGCTTGCCATCGTTGTTCATCAAAGTGGAAGAAACTCCCATTCTGGCGATAGGCTTTTTGAATGGCCAAAACTGTCAGAAAAACAACTCAATGACAAATAAAAGCACTCACGGTGAAATTAACAATAGCACGTCTACAAAACATGAGTTTTGCGAAGTACACAAAATGTTTTATAATCTTAGTGAGTGGACGTGTACCGTTTGTACTTTATTTGCCCTTCAGCGAATATTCGACGGATTCAATCATTTTAAAAATGATTTTTTATGTAAAACTGATTAAAAAGTATGTAGTACTGCACGGACTAAAATTGTGAAAATTCATTTCGTTCCTCGAAGCGTTTTGTCGGAGAACAATAGAGTTCATTAGGGAGTTTGTATGAGTACGGTTAAAAATCTTGCATATATATGCATCGCAGACGATGTGCTTATTTTGAGCTCAGTGCATAGTATGAAGTAAGGGGACATTATTTGTAAGATTTGACAATTTCAGTAAGTAAAGTGTTACTCGCCAATCTATAAACAGAGCAAGACGAAAGGTTTCAGAATTTTGAAGGATTCCTATTCTCTCTTGTTGATTTCAAACCACCTTTTATTTCCTTCTCCACCGCAAAAAGTCAAAGTTAAAAAAACGAGCAGATGAACCAATGACATCCAACAATAAAGTTTCTAATAATTTTGGTCTATAACTGAGATTTATCTTGAAAACTATGCTACTCAGTCGGTCAGTCAGCAAATCAGTAAGTAACAGAGCAATAGATTTTGAAACTAAACAGGATTGAAGGCCGCAACCTCACCCATTTTTGGGAAAACGATCCTTTCTGAAGGCCTCATTCCACTCAGGTGTTGCTTGCCATAATTAATAGCAAATTTCTCGACGGCCTCTGCCACCTCAAAGATGGATTTTCTTAGTGTCTTAACCTCTTCCATGCTGACCTTGCCTTTTGCGACTTTCTTGAGATTTATGGTGAAATCTTCAAACACACCTACAGCCTCCTATAATTACGTAAATATTCCCAGGTCATTAACTAGCCAGTCTCATATACACAATTTAACACAAAGCAGGAGGCCCCAGATGGTGTCCAGGGTATTCCCCATCAAAATAACTCTTTTAGGGTCCTGGGTTACTTTTTAAGCCTCACCATTTTCACCCTGTATGGCTTGAATGGTGGTTTATCTTAAATTTCAGATATTTACTTTTTTTATGGTGGAAATAGGTATATCAGGGTTAAAAGCCTTCAAGTTATGAAAATTGCATACCTGTATGGAAGTCTTTCTGGTAACATTTATTCCGGATAATTTTGACACATAGTAATTTGCCTGGAATAATAATAATAATAAAAAAAACAATTGTCTGTCACATTAATGGACCGAGAAGATCTCGAAAAGTGACATGCAAAGAAACGCTAAAGGACTATTCAGAACACAAACCAAATGCTCAACTGTCCTAAATAACAATGACGATGGTGCTGTTAGCGATGGCGATGGCGATGGCGATGGCCATGGCGATGGCGTTGCTGATCCTAATGCCGATGATAATAGAGATGACGATGGCGATGACAATAGAGATAGCGATGGCGATGCTGATGCCGATGCTAATGATGATGCTTAAGATGGATGAGATTGTAAATCTTCGATTAGAATGAGATATTAATTGAGCTCTTTTGCCGTTTTACGGCTTACCTCTTAACACGTGTTTGTATATTTTTCAAAATAATAGGGTAGCGAATGACAGGAAACACAGAGGGCGTAAAGGTTCAAAACTTCAAGCTTGTTGTCATCGCTCAATTTACAAAACTTGAAACGGATATTTTATAATAAGTAGACGCTAGCGAGGATCCTTTTGGTTTTCTTCAACACAGGTTTTACAAATGCGTATAAACATCCCCATTGTTAACACTGCTATGAAAGAAAAAGACTAACAAGCAATGGTTTTCGTTAACTGATACCGAAGATAGGTAAGTGGTTTACTTCTTAGCCATTGGCTTTATGGAGATACAATTACATGCAAGAAAAACTTTTAACATAAAGCTGGAAAAGTGCGAGAAATGAGATGAAACATTACAAATGTCAAACTTTATATACGACCTACAAGAAAAAACGCAATTAACGTCATAGCGGCTCACGTGCTTACACACCGATCGGAAAATATTTAAATTCTCTGTCACTGTCCCTACAGTTTAGTTCCGCCGAATGTAAGAACATTTCCATCAACCTTCAGTCCGATCAGAACGTTCTACACAATTGCATTACATGAACACGTGGCACTTTTCCATGCGCTTAAATTGTATTCTACCGATCAATTTTCATTTTGCCTCATTAGGCCTGACTCCATCATGTGCCATTTCCTTGTAAACAACCTGCGTAATAGATTTCGCTCACCGTGGAGTCTCTGTGGCTCAGTGGTAGAGCATCGGAGCGCGGAATCCGAAGGTCTTAGGTTCGATTCCTCATGGGACTCAGAATTTTTTTCTTTGTCCCACGCTCGTGACAAGACGAATCCATCTTTCTCTCTTCTGCATTTTAGCACTTATTCGAACCGCACTATCCAACACCACTCAAAAAATTTCAGACGGAACTAAATGTTACTGAGAGTAAATTTTCAACGCAGTTCTCCTGTGTATTGACTTTTTCTACGAACAAAAGTCCCTTTCAGTTACCTCGGACTTAATCCCATCGCATGTTAATTTTTCTGTTATAAAACTGAAAACGTTAGGAACACAAAGTGTCCCATCTCAACCCTCCGAGCCAAAATAACGAATCTTATATGCTATGCAAACCTATGTTTATTTTATTTTAGAAGGCAGAACATCCATTAAATTCCAACCCAGTGTTGACGAAAAAAAATATCTACATGCTCTGGTGACATACGAGAACTGAGGTAACCCTTACTATCCTCGCTGTAGAGTAGTGGTTGTTAGGTTGATCGAAATGTTTGCCTTATTCGAATTAAAAGTAGGATGGTCAGATTCTTATGTTCACTGCACATTTTGCATTGCATTGAATTTAGCCCCTACAACTTTACAGTTCAAAGGATCGGATCTCGAAATAGAATACAATAAACATAAAAATTGATTCCCTCTGCGAAGAAAAAATAAGTCTCGAAGTCTTTTGCATTTGTTTTATAAAACGACAGTTGGCATGTATCTTTACCGACTGAGTCACTACCTTTTCACAAAAGATAACGCACTTCACATCATCACGTGCTGCTATCTAACAAAGCAATCGGATCGCTGATTCTTTGCAGTTGGTATTCACCACCATTTCATTCAATCGAAAGGATAAATTAACTACGTGAAAATTAGCGACAATTGAAAGTTTCACAATTGTTGTTACTCGTAATGGTAATAGTAACAGAACCATTTAAAACTTTCCTCTGCTCGCAAGGTTAAAAGTTAGACATGTATATCGTGAAAACGTTCATTAAAATTGTTTCAAACATATTTTCATTCATGCAAATGTAAGTGTAAACTTGATCCCGACTGTCAGAGGGTTTATAAAAATGATGTCGTGAGTATCGCAAACGTCACCAAAGAATGTTTTTGTTACGCCTAAGCGCTTCTGGTGCCTTTTAGTTTACTCAAAATACTAATAATAATAATAATAAGAAGAAGAATAAGAATAAGAAGAAGAAAACAAAAAGGGAAAAAATAAAACAAAACAAAACAAACTAAAAGAAAAACTTACCCTTGGAAATCTCACAAATATAAGCGTGCCAGTTCCCCCAAGCTGTGCTACCAAACACGCCCGGTTTGCCATTACTGGACCGCTTGTACATGATGGCCTTTTCGTGTTCACCACTTGGCTCCCCTTTTCCCCATTTGTAAATAGTCAGCGGTCTTTCACTCACCCAGGTCCAATTCCCGGCTTTTTTTGTTAAACCAATACTCCATGTACTTATATAGTACTTAGTATTTCGTCTTTGAATCTCGTCATTAATGAACTTCCATTCCTCTTCGGTTTCAATGGATACTAGGTCCCCTCCTTGGTTTTGGCAGGTTTCTCTGTTAAAGAGCCATGACCATCCATTCACCGAAATTATGTACCAAGAGTTCTTAAAAGTTATGTTTGAGCATCCTACAAAATGATAAAAACGGAAACAAAAATACTAATTATCATAATGATGATAAACAAAGTGATAATAATAACAATGATTACGACATAAATAAAACTATGATCACAATCACAATAAAGGAGGAAAAAATGAGCAAGAAAATGTGATTTTTTTCATTTTCTATTTTATTCCTTTTTTTTTTTTTATTTAACATCTGTAGTTTATGTTTGGTCAGTGTCAATTAATACAGTACGTCTTTCTTCACTACGGCGTCCACCATCTCTGCTTTCCTTTATGAACTTCAGCTAAAAGTATCTGTGAGTTCGTGTAATTTTAATAGTTGAATTTTTGGATATTAATTAGTTCCTTGTTGAGCTGACACCTCCCCTCACCCCGCCCCTTATTCTTCCTCCCCCATCTGAACAGACTTAAAAAACGTAAAATTAAATGTGAATGTAAGTTTTCATAAATGTGCAACTGGAGATACGCAGTTCACCGTATACAGTTGCTATGGGAAAGTTTATCGAAAAAACAAAACAGAACAAAAATTTAAAGGGCACGCGACAAACTCAAAAGATTATCTTGGTGGCGGTAATCAACATGGACATAAAAAGGTAAAGATAAACTAATTAAGGTTACTTTGTGCTTTTCTTCCGATTTGATTGCAGTTTCGAATTAAAAGTCAATCTTGTATTAAAAATAGGTTCAAAGCCGTCGTGCCTCGTCCTTAAAGTGACGTTTTCTTAGACTTCCCTGAAATCCTAAGGTCGTCTAACTATGACCTGAAAGCTACCCACAATATCTCTCAAGGTCACCGCTTGCACTTCTGACACGCTTTTTCCCGAAAAATTTTCCCGAACGAACTGTATTTATTAGTTGTTTTTCTGAACGGTAACGAATCATGCAATCTTTGTGGTTATTAATGCCGTCCGGATTTTCCTATCTCTGCCTAGCGGCACGGTAACGTTTGCTCGAGTCGCTAGCTACAACCCTAACTTCGTTGTCATTTTTCATAAATGTATTTCGTTTGCCAGCTGAGCAGTATTTTAAAGCAAATCATTTTAAAGCAAATCAAGCTGATTATTAATCCTCTCCTTCTCTCTCTCAAGTCACTGTGGCTGCCGGCAAAAAGAATGGTAAAATGATTTTTGGTAACAAGTTTGTCATTAGATGGGTTGACGCGCGGCCTGAAAACCGTTTGTAAGTAACCTTGACCTTCACTAGAAGTAACTCAGGAAGTTAGAACGTGAGGTGTTTGTTTAAAATTGAATTAATTAATGGAATTTTCAATCATTTAATATCTGAATTCTTTCAAACAATTTGTTCATTGAAAAACAGAAAGCGAAGTCTTCATTCTATACTTTAAATACGCTTTTGGTAAGTCTTTGCAAGTCTCCTCAAATTAGACATTTGTACCGTAAACTTCATAACAGTAAACGAAGGAATTCAACGAGAAAAAACCGCATTCAAATTCACTTTTTGACAAAAGACCAGATTTACACAAAAGATTGCACCAAATAAACGAGCAAACTCCCACAATCTCGAAACAGATTTAAATTTACTTACAATTACTTTCCATTAATTGACTGATCAGAGCTATACTTCATTCATCAATGGATAGTCGATGGAAATGCGTAATACTTTCCGTAAGATTATTGACTGTTTTTAAAGAAAAAAATTTTCGTGACAGACATTGAACTTAAGTTTGTTTGCCAAACCAGTGCCGTTGATGTTGTTGTTGCTATTGTTTTTTGTTTGTTTTTTTGTTTGTTTGTTTGTTTTTAACGTGCATGCGCTTTTGTTTCTCACGCGCTCTGTCATTGTAAATTGTGCACTCTGTCTTCAGTACCGGTACTCAAGACCTTGAGCAAACATACTTCGATGTGTTATGTTTAAAAGAACATGTATTCACTCACCGACGTCAGTGAACACGCCTTGTAACTTGTGGCAAGGGAAAATTCCGTTGGTTAGATTATCCCAATCTCAGCGCGCTCGACAAAAAATTTTTGTGTAAAATTGTGTACAATTTCGATCGCTGTTTTTTCCAACTGCAGGTGATGCAAAAAAGGACAATTTTAGAGTGATCTTTTTTTTTTTTTGACATATGTCCCGGATTTTTTTCATGGGCATTATGTTCAACCACTAATGCGCGCCTAAAAGTTCATTCGTCGCTCACACGTACAAGTTAGGTGAGGTGAGCGTATTATGTGAACAATATTTTCACTTTTAAGAAGCAAGAGAAATTTTCATGACACAAGTGCAAGACTGTAATGTTTCAGCACATAATATACTTTATGGTTGGAATGTGATCTTACCTCCGGGCATCTCGCAAATGAAGGCGTTTTTATCACCCCAAGAGATACTATTAAATAGGCCTCTGTTCTTGGATATTTCCGCTCTATCGTCTCTATCATCTAACTGAGAATCTCGCCATTTCGAAATATTCAGTTGTTCTCCACTCTCCCAAGTCCAAACTCCGCCCACCTTCCCTAAACCAATGTGCCACGCACTAGTATTCCAAGTGCCACGCTTTTGAATCTCCTGATTGATAAACTGCCATTCTTCTTCAGTTTCGATGGAGACTAAGTAACCTCCCTGGAGGTAACAGACATTCTCGTTGTTATACCAATATCTTCCGCTTTTCGAAAATATGTAGGAGGAGTTTTTGAAACAGGTTGCTTGGCACTCTATAAAAAAATAAAGGAATAAAGAAACGAAGAAAATGTATACTGATTGTAACAATAGTGATAATTCTGATGATGGCATGGAGACAAAAAAATAAATAAATAAATAAAGGAAAAAAATGTATACTGATGATAACAATAGTAATAACGATAAAGATATGAAGAAGAAAAAGAAAATTTATACCATTAATGATAAAAAACAATGGGCATCAAAACCCTCTACGTCACCGAAGGAAAAATTATAATTAGCCAAGGTTTTATAAGTGGAAATTGGGGAAATCAGGGTAATAGCACCGTTAATCTTTGACCTTTTTGTTTTGCTTTCCAACTGTTTTTAATCGCAAAACGATGTCATTGCAGCAGGAAGTCTATAACTAATCATTTTGATAATTCAGTCAGATCCTTTCTTTTCACGTCATTTTAAGATACATAAATATTAAATTGTAATTACACTTCCTCACCTGTTCCTGGCAATTCCATTATCAAATGAAGGATGACTGTAGAAGAGAAAATGGGAAAATAATTTTACTGTTATGTCGATTGTAACATTTGAAACAACAAAAGAGTTTCTTAAATTTCAAGTTAGACTAGTACTAGAGCATTTTATTCGCTACATACACCTTAAAATCTACCCATGACTTTTTTACCTTCCCTAAGGAGCTAACTGAGGAATTGAAAGAAAAAAGTGCAGTATTTCCGCAAGCAGCTGAACAAAACTTGTTACCTATCGGACGTCAAGATAGATAGATTTAAAAAAATACAGAATAAAAAAACAACAACCAAAAAAAAAATATTAGCAAAGAACTAACAAACGTATTTATCTGATGATGTTATCTTCTTTATACACGAAAACAAAATCTCGAACAGCGTTAAGGTATTTTTTTTAGTTTTTATCATTATAAAAATGAAACGTAAATTCAAAAAGTTGAAAACGTAAATTAGCCACCATAAAGGGTAAAAAGGCTTTAGCATTTATGGTGGCTAATTTACGTTTTCAACCCAGTTGTTAACACTAGATTACCTGCTGCTGATATTCAGTTTATTACCACCCCATAATGTTCTTGTTTGTTTTTTCTTTTTCTACACTCAGGCAATTGCGGGAGATCCATTTCGAAAACGGAACCCGCACCGAGTTTTGCGGATGGTATGTTAGGGAGTTCGAAAACCGAATTTCAAGGCAAACCGTATGGTCTAAATTCTCTATTATCGCGTAGTTACGAAACACAGAAGTGTCCCGCGTTGTCTCGGGGGACTCGCAGCAAAAACATATTTTGCGGGTAATAGTCGCCCGTACCAGACGGTATTTAAATAATCTGCTGGCCGGCAATTTGGATTGAACTTTTTTTTTTTATTTATTTATTTTTTTAAATTTTCAATTGTATTTATTTATTTTTTTAGCTCAAATGCGGCTCGAGCATGCTGCGACAGAACTCGTTAATGGCTCCTGACCGTGTGCCCGTCGCTTCAACCACGAGCTCTTATCCGTTTCGGTGAGTTTCTTCAACCATTCCTCATCGAGTTTCCTCGATACTTGTGCTTACAGCCAGGATTCTTTTTTAGTCTCACCATAGGAATCTTCCCTTTTTTTTATCTTTCGCCATTCACAGTCTAGTTTTAAACGCAGACACTGTCACCCTGAACAAGCTTATTGACTGCAAAAACGACTCTTATCAAATGAAAAGGACTCGAATACAATTCTTCCCTTAAATATATTAAGACTTGAGGTAAAACGTTAACTGACCGAACAGACCCTAGCTAAGAATGGGAAATTCCTAGTGATATTCCCCTGTTGTTATTCTAGCGCTAATACAAGGAGTTTCATTGGTTTGCCTCCGTTACAGAAGAAGAAGCAAACTTTTTCCTTCGAAACGATCGAGCACTGTTAGCGAAAACTGAAAAATCGCAAAGGAAACGTTATCGACGCTAACACGTTTGTGACCAAGATGTTTGTAAAATAGCCTCCACCTGGTGCGAAAAATTGCACTTTATCTATTTCCTTAGAACCAATTTTGTTTCCTTGGGGTTGAAATATGACGGTAAAACAGTCCTTAAAAGATTACCTCGATCAAAGCAATTGCAGAGAAAGAAACCACAAAGAGGTGATCAAAACTTTGACGCGGTTCAAAATCGTCCCTCGCAGTTCTAATAGTAAATGAGCAACTAAGTAACATTCTTGGAGAGATGCAAATATTACGGCCTCTTACCTTTTTTTTTCTCTTCAATTTCTATGGTGTTCCCTAACCTTTGAGGATTACTTTGTCATTTCTTTTTTTATTATTATCATTACAATCATTCAGAGGTCAAATATAAATTTATCATATATTTCTAATT